TGTGCGTGTGTGTGTGAATGTATTTGTGTATGTGTGTGTGTACATATAGATAATTAAATCCAACACCAATCATTGGTAGGAAGCATAATACCTTTAGAGAAAGATTATAGCATTAATTATAGATACATATAAACCTCATGAAAGACATTCACCAGAAAATATTTCCTGGATACTTTTGTATATATTTTTAAAGACTCATTTGCTTATAGATACAAAGTACTTGTAATAATTATTGGAACAATAGCTGTGACTTTGCTCTGCTGGAACTGCCTCTTGCATAAACAGAAGAAAGGTGCTAATCCATGTGCCAGTGGATTCGTTGGCAAGCGTCCATCAAGGCTACTTGTCACAAGCATTTCGGTGTATGTTGAGACATGTACTTATTTTAATTGCTGCCTTTTTATATGTGTCAATCTAATTTTTTTTCTTTACAGATAGAAAAAAAAAGTGAAAGGTAGGAGGTATGCACCTTCTCACTGAACAAAAGGAAAGGCAATTCCCTCAGTTCTTAAGGAAGAGAAAATGCAGACTTCTCAAGGGTTGCCTTCAACCCAGAGCAAGTGCAATCACTTTCCTGAGTGCTTTTTTGTGTGGCCATAATCCACTATCTCTTTACTCCCCTCTGGGATTGGGCTTGATCTTTTCAACACTTCTTTGTAACCAGGAGCTAGAAAACACAAGATTTAAACATGGTGGGAAAGGAAGGATACTGAGGTCATGTGAACAGCAGGGCAATCAAGCAGCTGTTGAGTTGGAGAGAAAAAGCTGGATCTTATCAGAGTAAATGCTGTCAAGAGTCACAAGCTTACATGACATAAAATTACACTTGTTTGAAGTATGCCATCACAAAATGCCAGCCTGACATTAAACTGCTTTATAGAGGTATCATGTCCTTAAACAGCCTGCTGATTTTCTGTCACTGGGGTGCCACTTTCCTACCTGATTTTGTGATACCCTGGCTTGTCTCCAGGAACTGTGAAGAGTGTCACCAACTTAGAAAAATTCTTAAAAGGAAATTAATTTTGATTTCCTTTGACATCCTAGAGAGTGTCCTTTTTAGCTGGGATGGAGATCCAGCCTCCTCTCCCACATTAAGGCATGACAGTTTACTGTGCATGTGAGAATCTTGGCTTGACACCCTTAAAAAACAAAAGCATTTTTAAAATTGAAGTATAGCTGATTTACAATGTTGTGTTCATTTCTTCTGTACAGCAAAGTGATTCAGATATATATATAAATATACATATTATACATTCTTTTCCATTATGGTTTATCATAGGGTATTGGATATAGTGCCCTGTGCTCTACAGTAGGACCCTGTTTTCTATCCATCCTCTATAAAATAGTTTGCATCTGCTAACCCTAAACGTCCAGGCCTTCCCTCCCACCCCACCCACAGGCAACCACAAGTCTGTTCTCTATGTCTGTGAGTCTGTTTTTTAGATAAGTTCATTTGTGTCATATTTTAGATTTCACATATATGTAGTATTTGTCTTTCTCTGACTTACTTCACTTAGTATGATGATCTCTAGGTCCATCCATGTTGCTGCAAATGGCATTATTTTATTCCAAAAGTACTTTCTATATGATCAGTAACATGTTAGGCACTCTACATGAATGATCTCACTTAATTCTCACTGAATCTCTAAGGTAGCTTCTATTATTATATTCACTGAAGTGGAAGTTCTGAGAGACCCAGTGACTTGCCTGAGATCACTCTGCTGACTAGTCAGCAGAGAATGGGGGTTTGAACCCAGCACACTGATTGCAGGGCCTGGGCTTGCAATCAGGATGGTGCTGCTTTCTTCAAAACCTGTGTCCAATGAGTGACCTAAGTTGGGAGGAGAAGGTAAATTAAGAAATATTTATAGAGGGGACACAAGAGGGCAAGAGACAAATGAAAGCATCTCCCCTTTGTCTTTAGAAAGACATGTGGTTAAGAAAACAAGAAGAGGTTTTTCCTGGTAGGAACAGGAAGTGTGGCTGAGGAGAGTCAAGCACTTTACAAATAAGGCAGCTGGAGCTTTCCATTTCCAGTGTGCATCTCCAACAGCACTGCTGTGATCGACCAGGAACAAATTCCCCAGTGAAACATCAACAAGGTAGGAAATGTCATAATTATATTTTCTATTATCCTCCAAAGAATACATTAGCATGGCAGACATGGCTATAATTTGAAAGAAAATTGATATGTAGCAAACACAATTGCTGATAAAACAAGCTGAGTTTTTAATCCTCTGGTATTAACAAAAAGGCCAAGATAAGAAAGGGAGTCTCAGTTTTTTCTGTGCTTGTTCTCATGTGTAGTTGTAACTAGGCAAGAACCATGCTCAATTGGTTTGCTCTATGCTTTTCTCTAATGAGTAAACATATATTCAGCATGTTCTGGACAACCCCCTGGAGGGCAGGTTTGTACCTGAATGCTCCAAGCAATGATTTGGGTGCCACCATCTACCTGCAGTTCAAACAAACCAACAAACAGAAAACCAGCCATTGTTCTTGACTCAGCCCTTCTCACACTTACCTTTCCATTAAGTTTCCAGTTCTGTCCCCAGAACCGATCTCAAGTTCACTTATTTCATTCTCTACTGCCATCACCCTTGTCTTAGACAAAATTATCTTTTGTCAGGATCAGAAACAGAAGCCTTCTAAAATCAGTCTCTAAAATCAAAATGGTTTAAGCAAATACATATAAACCATGTGCCTGCTTGAAACCCACCGGCCATGGCTTCCTAAGTACTCCAGAAACAGAGTCTAAGCCTTGCTTCTTGTGCCCAAGCCATGGAAGCACCTCTCATTCTTCAAAAGACTCATGCTCTCTCTTTAGGCTTTTCCATTTTCTGAACCTTCTGCCTTGGAGATTTGTTTTTCCTCCTTATTCTTTAGGCCTCAGCACTGACCTCTCCTCTCCTGGAGTCATTCTTGTGGTGAGATTGGCAACCCTCCCCAGCCACTCTCTTCATCCTCGTTTCCCTCATAATTCTCTTCATAACATTTATATTGTGTCTCGAGCCATTTCTATTTTCTTTTTATCTTCTCAGTCAGAAGGTAAGCTCTATAAAGGGCAGAATTCTCAAATGGATCTGGCACATTTCTAGAAACATTAATGGATAGGCTAATTATTTTGAGACATTCCTCTGGATGGGAGCATGTAGGAATTTCTTCTTGCTGACACTGAGGCAAAGAGCCTAATAAACTTGGTGTGATCTTTTCTGTCTCAATCATTCATAAATCTTTGCATCTTTGGAACCCTAATGAGACTAAGAGAGGGGAATAAATAAAAATTTTTTGTAAATACATGAAGATATTCTTGTAAATCTTCATTTCTTATTTCATATGGTCAGTCATGTTTAAGCAGGAAGCGAAATTGATGATTTATTCTTTAGTAATCAAATTTATTGCCATCAATTATATTTTCCAATAGCTTTTAACTAAATGGAATGATTATGTCTAAGAAGCATGAGGTTTTTATAGGGAAGGGCAAGACTTCTGTTCCATCTGTCTATGATGCTCATTGCAAAGATAAAGCTCGCGTTTAATGTGGTCCGGCCATGCGCACAGCGGGCAGTGCTCTCAGTTATTTAATGAAGCCTCTCTCAGTTATGCATCAAGTCTGTTTCCTTAGTTCCCTTTAAAGATGTACATATCAAAACCGTCAATACTTTTTGGTCACGGATTCTTCTTTATTCTAGTTTCAATTTTCACGCCTGTACCATCAGGTGTGCAGTCCCAGCTTTTTGATGAGTCAGCACAGCCTGGATGTGTTAGTGTCATTGTGTGTGTTTCCCAGGATGTAGGGTCTGTGCTCACTTTGGGAGCCTTAGTCTAAAATTTGGCAACGAATATCACTAGTGTCAAAGGGGTAAACATCTTTTTTTATCTTTATGGTGAAAATGAAGATGAAATAAGTCATCCTGAGTTGATTCAATTTTAATACCAAATACTTTAAATTATTTCTGAAAATATTTACAGAATTTATTTCTGTATATCAAAGCAAATGTTATATTCTTAGGCAATTTGCTTCTTATCTTATAGCTTCTTGTACATTTTTATAATAGAGGGTTTCTACATACTGGATTTTCCTAAAGAGAGGAACATGGCTTGTATTTCTGATTTAGTTTCTTGGGATATAATAACCGTGTCATGAGTTTTGTTATCTTTAAATAAAAACAACTTGTCTACAATACATAGATTTGTTAATATTATAGCCTCAGTTTGCCAAAATGATGTAAAATAATTTGATTTTTTTTTAACATCTTTATTGGGGTATAATTGCTTTACAATGGTGTGTTAGTTTCTGCTTTATAACAGAGTGAATCAGTTATACATATACATATGTTCCCATATCTCTTCCCTCTTTGTCTCCCTCCCTCCCACCCTCCCTATCCCACCCCTCCAGACAGCCACAAAGAACTGAGCCGGTTTCCCTGTGCCATGCGGCTGCTTCCCACTGGCTATCTACCTTACGTTTGTTAGTATATATATGTCCATGTCTCTCTCTCGCCCTATCACACCTCACCCTTCCCCCTCCCCATATCCTCAAGTCTGTTCTCCAGTAGGTCTGTGTCTTTATTCCTGTTTTACCCCTAGGTTCTTCATAACATTTTTTTTTTCTTAAATTCCATATATATGTGTTAGCATACGGTATTTGTCCTTCTCTTTATGACTTACAAATAATTTGATTTTATGTATTTTTCTGATTTACCTTGCTACTCTTTAAGTATTAGAATGCTGTGGAGATTTTATAATACAGAGATTTTCCGTAGTCTAACCTCAGGGAAAACTTATTACCTCCTTTATAATTACTCAGTGGGTATGAGAAATACCTGCTCAGTGATGCATCTCATTAATGGGTCTTGTCTTGACTGACTTGAAAAGAACCAAGGAAAGGATTTGACGGATTTGATCAGTCAGGTACTGTCCTTGATTTCTCTGAGTGACTTTCTGTCCTCTTCACCCCCTTCTACCTGTGCTCATGCCCAATAATGAAAAGCTCTTACCTTCAATGCAGAGGAGACCAGACCTTCCATACGGACAGAGGCAGACAATGTCTGTCCCGGATTTAGGAACACAGGTGGCACCATTTCTACATGGGTTGCTTTCACAAGTTGCAAACTGGCACTGCTTGCCCGAGTACAGCCTTGGACAGTCACAAAACCAAGTTTCACTATCACTGAGAAGGGAAAAGCAATTATAAAACCAATCAGAAAACAAAAAATGATCTTTTACACACACACACAAACACACACACACACACACAAATAAAATTAACAATTGTGTCTTGCCTAGTAAGTGGAGTTTTTTCTTCTCTCTTTCTCTTTCTGTGATTTTAAACTTATGAGTATTTATAGCTGTGTACTTTACATTGAAAGAAGATTAATGGCTTTTTAGATTGTCCAAAGCCATGCATTCTATTTTAAGCAGTCTATTTTTATTTTTTATTTAACTCATCTTTTATTTCACCTAAGGTGCCTTTTCAGGGCTTCATTAAATAGGTGTGGTGTTGCCTCAATAAAGTGCTTCAAATGTCTACTAGAAAAATCCATTTTAGACTCCAAGCTTAGAGGAGAATTTCAAGCTGGGGCTAGCCTTCTCCACAGAAGACAAGTCCTCCAAGAGCCACCCTTCTGGTAATTAGGAAAGAAAAACACAGTGGGGAGCTGTAATGACTAAACAGCTCTCCAGCTTAGACTTTGGTTTGGTGACCCCAGGCCCAGAGTCACCTGTGAAAGAAAAGCTCAGGAAAAATACTCCTCTCACCTGCTGGGGAAACACTCTCCAGAGGGGACAGTGACTTAAATCTGTGGTTTCTGCCTTCCCTGCATCTATTCCCCATTTAAAGTAACAGCAGTTTTAGTTTTCCCTTCCAGACCTCCAGCCCTCAAGAATCTCAGCCCCCTGATTGGGAGGGGCATACCCCCTCTTGGTGTCAATCACAGTGATTAGTGCAGGATGGACCCCAGGGCCAAAGTGCTGGTGGCATCTGCCTATCCAGAGGGCTGAGGATAAATAACTAATATGTAGCAATGAAAATATTAGAGACTGGGGTAGACAGATAGATTATTGATGATATTATTTGGGTATTAGATCCAACCATTACACAACAGTTATATAAGCTAGGTATCTAACCCCCCTTTTAGTTTTTAAGCCAATATGAGTTGCGGTTTTGTCACTTGCAGTAAAATGAAGTCCATTTAATACTGATGTCCTTTCCTTCCATTTTTTTCCCTTTCTCCTTGTTACCTCAGTCCACCACGTACCTTGCCATATATGGATCTAGGTTTTTATCTTTCCTGCTTTCATCTTAACTTCTAAACATGACTGTTAACTCTTAAGGGTAGGTGCCAGGACCACCCTGAAAATTAGGGAGCTAACATATTTTGTCTTCACGACTCAGCCTCCTCCCAATCTGATTGTAGATTTTACCCACACTATGGACTTGTTCTCTTGTCCTTCTCATCTTTCTGGTCTCTCAATAGTTTCTTTACATCTTTTAATCTCCTTAGTCCAAAATAAATTTGCTCACAAGAAAGTATCATATTCTTTCATACTAATGAATACCTTACTTGGAAATCTGGTGAAGTTTCCCTTTCCTAAAATGTCTATACTTTATATTATTTATCAATGTGAATGGGGTGAAGTATTATGGGGAAGGTATGTATTAAGTAGCTGGTAAAGCTGGCTTTGGTGGGGTGAGGCTTTGAGACCTTCAGATTTTACCAACACATAAGGTGATCCTGTAAGTGATCAGTACTCATTTTATAACATTCAGGGCAACTTGCTTAGCAGTTTACAAAAAGTAGAAAATCTCATAGGTTTCTAGAGTTGGGAAAAAAATTAAAAATCAATGTCACCACACTAGACAAACTCTTCTGTTTTGGGGCAACAAAACAAAGTTTTGAGGACTCTTGAGCCAACATTGTGCCTTCTTGCCTGAAAATAGTGGTGAAAGAATAGCCAGACCACCTGGCAGGTACAGAGATGCCTTCTGGTGGGACTTAAAGGTTAATTAGTAGCTTAATGTTGTTTAGGGCTATGGATAAATCTAATGTAACTTTGTCCCCACCCACCTAACTTGGAGTTAAAAGCTCAGCATTAAGCATATGTTTTCTAGGACAAAGTGTAGGAGTATAACACTCTTGAAAGCTGCATTCTAGATCAAATTTATCTTTCTATAGTAAAGGAGAACACCACATATATGAAAGTCAAACAAATCTAAATATTGATTGATTTAATATAATCAATCATATAGACTTAACCTAAGATGCTTTTATGTTAAACCAAGGAAAACACTAATTTTAGTCATGTTCCATTGATAAATTAAGCCTCATTTCCTTTTTGTTTTCATCAGCTGTTGGGAGAATTTGCTTGTATAAATTCATGGGAAGATGACAATTGTCTGCATTGTACATCAGTAGACAGCTAGAGCAGAGAGTGAACTAAAAATTCTCTAGAAAACACTCTATGAAAGGGGAAAATGCCTTCTCTGGCTAACCAAGGGCAAGGGTCCAAAGCCCTCTGGCCCATCTTGGTATTTTATTAGTATGTTATTAGAAATAGTCAGCTTTAACAAATTGAGATTTTGCCAGATGATGGTACCTGTATACATTTCACTTCAAATTGTACCTTCAAATCCCAAAGGATTTCCTGGAGAGCCAGATACTTCACCAATAGTTTTAATAAAATAAGTCTTTGCTACCAGCTGTGCCACACCAGAATCTAAAGGTTACTCCTATTTAGACCTTGCCAAAGATCTCATTCCTAAATCCCAACTTCAGAAGCCAGCAAGTCAGCTGTTGTTGCTGTCATGTAACTCACTGCAGTGCCTCTCTATACCCTGAAGCAAATGGCAGTGTCGACCAGGAAAGTGAGTGTCCTGAGGTTGAAGGACCCTATGTAACAGTCGATTTTTGGATAATGATTAAAACAATGTTACCCTCCCTCACCCAGTTTACTCCAGATGTTGTAACGTTGCTGTGAATTTATTGGGCACTGTTTAATTAGTTATGGGAGAATTATCCACATGAAATATGCAAACCATCTAGAAAACTCTTTTGCAAATCTTCCTCTAAGGAGGTCAGGACAATTTTCTCAATGGAAAGTAGCTTTGGGAGAGAACTTAGATGTTGAGGAAGCTTTTACCTGTACTCCAGAATACCGTATTTATTGCCAACTGCTGTCAACGAGTATCCTCTGTCGCTGACAGAGCCATGTGTCATGGGATAAATGAGCGTTGCTTCTGCTCTTGTTGGGGAGACAACATAAGTGCATGAACTAGTCTTTGTAAGACATAGCATGTGTATGTGACAAGAGAATTTAGGCAGTAGCAAGGATTTTAAAGTCTTAGTTCTGTAATGCATGGATTCAGATGTTGGTGGCTTCTAAAATATGATCTGAACTACATAATGTTACCAGTGAATCTCCCGTGGAGATCTTAAAATGTGCATTCCTGAGCTCCCCTTGCTCTCTGAGATTCTGATATAGGAGATCTGGGGTGAGGTCGAGATTCTGCAGTTAAAAAATGTTATCAGGTGATCCTCTTGCATAGTCTATTTGAGCTTAAACCATCTCTCCAGAGACTAATTTTCTCTCCAGAGTAAAAGCTTGATGGGCACTAGTTACTATTGTGTTCTTAGCAGGATGCCAGGGCATTATAATTTTCTTTCTTTTTTGGGGCAACATTTTGACTTTTGACTAACATACATCTGAAAACATGATATTTACCCATCAAAGTACAAAGATTAGAGGGTTTTTATTTTACTAGTGCCATATAGGGTCTATTGCACATATATTTTATACTTGACAACAACATGAAGCAGAAAAAAGTTCACTCATTTTAAACCTTAAAAAAACCCACCCATCTAAGTGTATGCAAATATCTGTGTATTTTGCACTATAACTGCTACAATGTATTTGATTACAAGTCACAATACAGTCAGCATATCAAATGATTGTCATTAAGTTTCTATGTTTATTAAAAATTATCTTTAGAAAATTTAGCTGACTAACAAAGTCAAAGATGCTGGCTTGAAAAGGATGCTCCTTATTTACATAGCACAGCCAGATGCTTGAAAACTTTCTAGAACTAAAAGGACTCCTCATGTATTAACTTAAAAAATAAAAACTCTTTCTGCACTCTCTGTAACTCACAGATCATTAGTGGATTTCAAAGCTGACCACCCACAGTGTCAAGAGAGGGAGATTCTCAGAAGGAAAATGTGCAGGAATGAATCCTTATGAATAATGTCTCTAGACACTTCTAAAAATTAAAATGACTGTTGGCAAAAAGAGCCCATCTCTCTTCATAGACTCTTCTATTTATAGCACAGGTCACAGGCTTAAGGAAGAATGCAAAAGAGATCCTGAGTAGCTGTGGTTCAAGAGGGACTGCCATTCTGCTTTCAGGAATTTCCCAAACTACAACCACAGAGCAATCCCCCCACCCCCAGAATTCCTTCCATTTTTGAACTCCTTTCAAAGAAGTTTTCAGCTGTGTATGGAGACTTGCTGTTCCAGCACCACACATAGTTGTTTTGTCTGTCTCTAAGACAAAGATGCCTAAAAGGATGCTATTTCTTGCAACAAGGCATGCCATCGTACTGGACATTTTTCATTTTCAACTTTTGCTTTTTAAAAGTAGCCAAACCTGAAAATAATAGAAAAAAATCAAAACGAAAATTATCTTAAGGTGGTCTGGAAAGTGAACTAGGAGAAACATCCCCTGTGTAATCTACCCATGAACAGAGAGGCCAGGGAAAATGTCTTTCTGTTTCAGGAGCTTTTTACTTTATATGGAAAGAATTTACTAAAGGCAGAAACAAAGGTGGAAAATGATAAGAGCAATAATAAAAGTCACAGACTCACATGTGAAGAAAATATAAAACATACCTAAAACAGGACTAATTCACAAAAGATATAAAATATTTTTGTTTCTTCCTCTTCTAGAGCTACGGATTCTATCTCATGGGTATTTTGTGAAGAAAATTTGAATTTATGTTATAATCTCTCTCTTTTTCTCCCTCTATCCCTCTTTCTCTCTCTTAAAACCATGGTTCATTTTACAAAAGGTCTTCACTGATAAAGAAAAATGATCAGAAATTCCTTCCCAGCAAGAGACATCTTTTCCATTTCTTTTACTTTGGACCCACTTGTCCTTACGAAATGCAGTTAAAG